CTGATCAAGAAGAAAAGTGAAGTGTTCGAAGTATTTATCAAGTTCAAGTCCATGGTCGAAAGACAAAGTGGTCGAAAGCTCAAAGTTTTGAGAACTGATGGTGGAGGAGAATATGTGTCGAAAGATTTCGACAGATTATGTGAAAAAGAAGGGATTGTGCATGAGGTGGTGCCACCCTATACTCCACAGCAAAATGGAATTGCAGAAAGGAAAAATCGAACCATCATGAACATGGTGAGAAGTATGTTGAAAGGCAAGAATTTACCCAAAGAGTTCTGGGGTGAAGCTGTTTCGACTGCAACATACATTTTGAACAGAAGTCCTACAAAAAAGCTAGAAGGAATTACTCCAGAAGAATGTTGGTCTGGTGTGAAGCCTAGCTTAAGTCATCTGAAAGTATTTGGATCTATTGCACATAGACATGTGCCAGATCAGTTGAGAAAGAAACTTGATGACAAGTCAAGTCAAATGATCCTAGTTGGATATCATTCGACAGGAGGCTACAAGTTGTTTGATCCAGAGAACAAGAAGATTGTGATCAGCAGGGACGTGATCATAGATGAGTTCAAAGAATGGGATTGGACTGCAAATGTCAAGAAAGATTCAGTGGGAATCTTATTCGAAGAGCCAGAAACTCAAGTCGAAAGAGAAGTTCGACAAGAGGAGCCAGCAGATATACCCAGTAGAAGCAGACCTCAAAGAACAAGACGCATGCCTGCAAGATTGCAAGATTGTGTGATTACATCAGATGATGTAATAGATGATGAAGGTGAGCTGGTACATTATGCTTTCTATGCAGATGTCGAACCTGTTAATGCAGCTGAAGCATTAAAGGATTCGAAGTGGGTGAAAGCAATGAACGAAGAAGTAAAGTCTATCGAAGACAACAACACTTGGTCACTTGTCAAATTGCCTCAAGGCAAGAAGGCAATTGATGTCAAGTGGGTATACAAAGTGAAGACGAATTCGAAAGGTGAAGTAACTCGACACAAAGCAAGACTTGTGGCGAAAGGATTTCTACAGAAAGAAGGAATAGACTTCGACGAAGTTTTTGCACCTGTTGCTAGGATCGAAACAATCAGGTTAGTTGTTGGTCTAGCAGAAATCAACAGTTGGCACATATGTCAGATGGACGTGAAGTGTGCATTCCTAAATGGACCCTTAGATGAAGAAGTCTATGTTAAACAACCAGTTGGGTTTGTGAAACATGACGAAGAAAGAAAGGTGTACAGGCTACATAAAGCCCTGTATGGTTTGAAACAAGCTCCAAGGGCTTGGAATAAGAAAATTGATAGTTTTCTAAGGAAGAAGGAATTTGAGAAGTGCATAACTGAACATGGAGTATATGTAAGAAGAAGCAAGAGTAAATTGCTTATACTATGTCTCTATGTAGATGATTTGTTGATAACAGGTAGCTGCAAGAGTGAGATCGAAGACTTCAAAGTTGATCTTAGCAAGGAATTCGAAATGTCTGATTTGGGTGAGATTTCATATTTCCTTGGTATCGAATTCCACAAGAGTAGTAGAGGTTTGATGATGCATCAAAGAAGATATGTAGGGGAAATTCTCAAGAGGTTTGAGATGGAAGAATGCAACTCAACTTCGACACCTGCAGAACCAAGACTGCAACTGTCGAAAGATGCAGATGAAGATGATGTTGATCCAACCCAATACAGAAGACTTATTGGATCATTGAGATACCTTTGTCATACAAGGCCTGACTTAGCATACAGTGTAGGTATGGTAAGTAGATTCATGCAGAAGCCAAAGGTATCACATCTAGCAGTTGTGAAGAGGATACTAAGGTATCTCAAAGGAACTTTCGATTATGGCATTCTGTTTCCTGCAGTTGATAAAGGAAAAGAATGCAAGCTAGTGGGATACACTGATTCGAGTTGGTGTAGTGATGCTGAAGATCGAAAGTCAACAGCAGGATATGTGTTTATGCTAGGTGGTGCAACAATTGCTTGGAGTTCGAGAAAAGAACCAGTAGTAGCATTATCATCATGCGAAGCAGAATACATAGCTGCTTCTCTTTGTGCATGCCAAGCAACCTGGATGGTGAACTTGGTCGAAGAGATAACAGGGAAAAATCATGGAGCAATTACCATGAAGATAGACAGCATGTCAGCTATCAATCTGGCGAAGAACCCAATAGCACATGGTCGAAGTAAGCACATCGAAATGAGGTTCCATTATCTTCGAGAGCGGGTAGCAGATGGGAAGATGAATTTGGAACACTGCAGAACTGAGAATCAGATTGCAGACATCATGACGAAGGGAGTGCAGGTCGAAGTATTCAGAAAACTAAGGGCCATGATGAACATAGACAGTTTAGACACAATGAATTAGGTGGTGTGTTAAATTGTAATTCATAGGTGTCAAAATAAGATTTGATTTGTTTAGATTTAAATAGATTTGAATTTAAATCTAGATTAGATTTGATTTAGTAAAGAGATATTTTGGGCTTGGGTTTAGCTTAGGGAGCAAGCTAACCTAAATCTATAAATAAGAGGGAGTAACCCTTATTTTGTATTCAAGTCATTGAACTCATTCACAGTATTTTGCAGTTGCAAAGTGAATTAATAAAGTTTCCACAGTTTGTGGGCAGAGAGAAACTCTGCAGAAATAATTCTATTGTCTTTTCTTAGTTTGTTTCATAACTAATCATCAGTGGTGGTCGAAATTCATCATAGAATATTGGTGGATTTCCAACACCTGATCCGTTATCAATCTCCACAGCCATTTATACATCAGATCATGATTGAAACTCTGCACAACCTTAATACCCAGCCCGCCTTCCTCCTTCGACTTACACACAAATTTCCAGTTTTGCCAAGCAACTCCACATTTATCCGCAGACCCATTCCAAAGAAAATTTCTTTGTATACAGGCTATTTCATAAATAATTCTGGCAGGAACTTTAAAAAAATAAAAGTAGTAAACTGGTAAGTTAGAAATCACAGAATTAATCAAAGCAACCCCCCATAGATAACATTATGCCCTTCCAATTAGATAACCTTGTTTTCATACCTTTGACAATTGGATTCCAGAAATGTAAACTCCTATGATTCCCTCCAACCAAGATTCCTAGAAATTTAAATGGAAAACTATCAATTTTGCAAGTGAGAAATTGTGCTGCTGCTTCCATAAAATAACCATCCAACCCTATGCCATAAATTTTTCTTTTGTGCATATTAATCCTCAACCCCGATACCATTTCAAAACCCAGTAAAATACACTTAAGCATCCATAAATTAGACCATGAACCCTCCCCCACAATAATTATATCGTCTATAAATTGCATCAGGCTATATGATGCATCATTATTAACAATGAACTCTTTGAATCGCCCAACTGAAACTTCCTTTTTAATTAATCTTATCAACCCTTCAACAGCTAGCACGAATAAGAAAGGAGATAGAGGATCTCCTTGTCATAATCCTCTGAACACCGTAAATTTCTCTGTCGGACTACCATTAACCAACACTGACATAGAACTAGTAAACACCTCTGCCTCGAGCCAACGCATCCACCTTTCACCGAAGCCTACTTTTCTAAAGAAACTTCTCAGATAATTCCAATCAACAAATTCATATGCTTGAGAAAAATCCACTTTAAACATCATACAATTCCTTTTCTCTCTTCTCGTGAAATCATTGATCTCATTAGTTACTAACACCCCGTCCAAGATTTGTCTGCCTGGAATAAACACAGTTTGATTACAAGAGTCCAGCTTCCCAATCACCCTACTCAATCTTGAAGCCATAATCTTTGAGATGATTTTATACAAACATCCAATTAGGCAAATTGGTCTATACTCCTCCAGTCCTTGAGGGTTATCAAACTTCGGAACAAACGCCAAAAATGAAGAGGTAATTGCAATTTCGCAAGCTTGTGAAATTTCTGAATAAATTCAATAATGTCTTCCCCCACCACATTCCAGTATTTCTTAATGAATTCCAGATTGAATCCATCTGGTCCTGGACTCATGTCACCTTCACAGTCGAAATTTGCCTTTTTCTCCTTCTCCAATTCTCTCGTTCTCGATTATTCATTGTTTTTTTTTCAAAAATTTTATTCTCTGCCACTTATGATTGTAACCATAAGATTGTCTTTTTCAGTCACAGAATCATAAAGTAAGAGTAAGAGTTGTATAAATTTATTTGTGAAATTTCATCACTCATAGATTCCCTTGCCTAAGGCCCTTCTCCTTCGCAAAATCTTTTGTCGGGCAGCCGTTAACCAACACAATGATGTTATGTTGATAAAATTGAAGAACAAACAAAGCTTCCAACCATTGTGTTGTTCAATAAAATTTGCTACTAATGCCAATAAGTTTCCATTTTGAATGAATGGATACTATGTTACGTTTATGTTAATAAAATTGAAATTAGTCAATAACCACTTTTATATATTGGAGTAGGTTTCTATTTGAAATGAATATTGTGTTATATGTTGTTATCTTAATAAAATTAAAAGTGTGCTATGTTTTTTTAGTACATTCTAAATCACTATCAAGTTCTGCCACTGATAACATAGTTAAAAACTACTGAAATATTTAGCAGTGAATTCCAGCATAAAGAGTACTAAAACTAAAGAAAATGTAGTTCCAATAAAGCTATTTCTCCCATTCTTTCTTCGTACCATCTCCAAGAGACCATCAATAATGCCGCTTGAAATTGAGTTGTAATCCTAAGATTAAAAAATGAGTCATATCGCACATCAGAGAAATAAATTAAAAAAACACAGTAAAACAATCAAACAGAGGAAAATTATGTATATAAAAGCAGAATTCTCACAAACATTAACCAACCAGTTTGAATAATATTACAATAAAAGACACTCATTATAGGGTAACCTAAACTATCATAAAAAGAATCATCACACAATCTATAATTATGAAATACCAAGGATTTTAAAACAACATAAACTAACAAAAGTTAACAATAGACATTAACATAAATTTTAATAAGTAAATAATTGAAGAGGAACTTACTTCAATCGGGAGAAACCAAGCTTTCAACATAATTATAGGGAAAAATCCATCTTAAATTGCTCAATCTAGTTTTTTCTATTCTATTATCACTCGAGTTATATATAATCACTTCCAATCCATGACGACGATTTGCTAATATTAGTGCGATGCCACTCTCATAAATGCACAATGGAGTCATAAAAAATCTATATTTAATACGAATATCCAAATCCTGGTAACTTATTTTTAGAAATTGAGTCCAAGACTTTTCAATTCCTAATTCCTTCATCTTCCATATAATAAAACCGGTTTTCTGAGTATGGTGACAAAAACAAAGTGAGTCCTCCAACACAGAAATAGTTGGCAAATGAAGTGGAACTTCAACAAAATCTTGAGGAGGAAGCATCTCGCGATATGTCTCTGTACCTAGATTCACCGAGATAATCACAATATCTTCAGCAATATCTCGGGCCAAGAAGTTAATAGTGTCATTCAAATACATATCTTGATTGAAAGTCCGTCTTTTTCTGGGAGCAATATTCCAATGGTCTAAAGGAACCACATGAAAAAGTTGAATAAGTTTCCAAACATTACCTCCATAACTAAATATTTCGACTTTGTTCGGACCCATATACAAAATCTTATAAGTATCAGTTGAATTATCATAACCAAATGAAAACATAGAAAACCTGAGATAGTCATATATATTTGTGTGAGAATTCGAATGTCGCCCAAAGTAGATAGAGAATGCTTTGGTGGCTGGGTTCCATAATTGAAACAAGGTGTTTTGAAAATCCGTAAATGAAAAAACTCTGTAACATAGCAATCCATTGCAGGAACCAATGAATTGGTAGCTGTTGTCGGAATCGGGTGACAATTCACTGCACGAATCATTTAGTTCGGTGGAATCATTTATGAAAGGAGTGTTTAGTAAAGTATTGAGGGGATATGGTTGAATAAAAGAATCAGCAGAAACGCACAGGATTTGTGTAAGATTGGTGTCTTTCGTGGAACGTTGAAGGTGCAGTTTGATGAATTTGGGATCGGAGATGATGGTGTTCCATGCTTTGGTAACGCATCTAAGTTGTGTCAAAGATTTAACCGGAAGGTATGATAGGACTTGAACGATGAGTTCTTCAGGAAGGAATATTAGATTGCGGTTTGATTTCCGTGACTTTGCTGTGGAGGGATTCATGAGAACTTGCGCTCTGTAGAAACTGAAACTCAAATACAAAGCTAAACCCTAATTAACATAAACTCATTTAAATACGTTTTTTTTAATGTTTACTAGTTTTTTTATTACGTGTTTGTGGTTTTTTTTTTTTATAATATTAGGCCAACATGCAAATTCACTTTTTATTTTTCTGTATTATTATTTTCGACGTGTTTGTTACGCTTACACATTATTACTCATTTAAATAGATTTTTTTAGTGTTTGTATTTTTTTTTTTAAATATTGGACCAACATGCAAACTCACTTTTTTTCTATAGTATCATTTTTTTTTATAAATGTAACACTCCATACATATATGTTTGGAATTATATATAGTGATGTTAAAAATGGTATATAGAAACATATAAAAGCGGGAAATGACAAGAAATAAAATCATATACAATTCAACTCTTCAGATAAAATTTATATAATTAGCTTGTCTACACCAATGTACAGCAAAAGTATAAGATCTGATGAGGTCTTCCTGCCATCTGCTCATCCACAGTCTTCGATACTGACCATCTAGCAATTCTTCTACCTATAACATGTGCTTGAAAAAAATAATAATAAGATTAGGGTGAGATTACTAAATCTCAACGAGTTGAGTTCACTCGATTCTACAAGGTGCATGCAATCAAATGGATCCACGTGGATCTGGGGTTTTCTCACAGTCTGATACAAAGATATACAACAACATGTAGTATCTCCATCGGAAGTCCCTTGACTAACCAATGAGATAACAACAAGCACACAATCAATCACAAACAAGTATGCAGACTCGTACCCGTGTACGAGGAATCAAGAAGTAAGTTCTACGTTTCTACTTAGGTCACACAAAATCACACCCTCGATGAGTAACCAAGTGCCTAACGTCAAAAGACTTGTACGGGCACATTCGAAAGATGAATCAGATCAGTCCTAAGTGGAATTCCATCTGTGACGAGTAAAAACGAAGTGGCATTGTCTATGTGACGTCACAACCCCGTCAACCATCCATACGCAAATATGTGATCGTTAGTGCAAATACACCATAGTGACTGTACAAGCCCACCCGGTGAAAGCCTAGTGATGTTGCCTATGTGACATCACTAGAGATGAGTAATCAATGTGATATTGCCTACGTGACATCACAATCCCACCATACCAAGCACGTCGATGTTTACCTGTTGGTGGAAACTCCTTTTTAGACCCACTCAGCGCATCACAATGGTAGCTCGAGTGTGTATGACGTACTGAAAATGCTGATGTTTACCCGTTGGTGAAAACACCTTTTCAGACCCACTCAGCATATTGCAATGGTAAAGAGTTGGACTCGGTCAATGGTTATATGTGATTTACCACCTAGTAGCTTAGGCCTACTTAGACTCAAGCATACATCATATCCACGTCCGAATGTTCAATCAGAATAGATGGAACAATCAAGTGATCATCATCACAATACACATCAAGCCATACTCAGGCAAACATCTCCTGAAATTCTGATATGCATATACCAGATATTCTAAGAGATGTTGAGACACTGATATCTGATCAAAACACAATGACAAAATAAATATAGTTAAGAGTAATGAAAATAAAAGAACACACAGAGTTGTTAATCCAGTTCGGTGTACAACAACACCTACTCTAGGGGGCTACAAAACCAGGGAAGAAGTCCATTAAATAATATCAGTTTATAGACCCATTATAAACTATCACCAGTTTACAATCTACTCAATGTTTCTCCGCGAAACATTCACTATCCTCTTATTAAAAGTTACTTGCAGGATCGGCTAAAATAATCCTAGACTTAGTGTTTTTAGTGTTTTTTGGGTTGAAACTGGTTGATATTGAATGAAGGGGCAAAAGTAAAAGGCAATTGCAAAGTAAAGAAAATAAAGAAAAGGCTTGTAATTTAAAATAAAAATTGGAAATTGCTATGAATTTAAATGTGGAAGCATTCATATTTTGTTAATCCTAAAACTCGTTTCTCTCTTAGGTGTGGGTACTTTGAGTGTAATGCGCTTAAATATGAATAAATGTGACCCCTGACACAAATACAAACATTTTCTTAATAGAAATCCTAAGTATGTAATTATCGACGGTTACTTTCCCGTGTTGGGGATTTATGGAGAAACTTCCCTAAACTAATTTGAACATCCCCACGTTCTTACTGGCTTTCGTGTTGGTAACCATTCCCGCCACCATGTATCTTTGCTCGTCGACCCCTGTTCTTATCGATGGCTCCCTCTGAATCTTATGTCTTTGTTGATTAGTTCTTCTGGTCGACATCCTTTCACTCGATTTACACACCTTGTTTTTTTCTACGGACTAATGCCTTTTTAGCCAAAGAAATCTTACAGCTTAAAGGCTTATTCCCTAGTCTAAAATTGATTATCAACAAATTTCCCCCCAAAACAACATGTTCAAAGGAGCCTTATCGATGGGAGAACTCTGGAGTTTTTCTCTTCCAAACTTTTGACCACATGGATTTTTGGGACGATGTCATGCATAATCATGATTACTTTCTGCCCAACAGTTTCCCATGGCACTTCAATCATTTCTCATGATTACTCCTAGGTTTTAGGGCGTGGGTTTTTAAACAAACCCTACTAACTTTTTCACTTTTTTTAGCCTTCTCACGCTTTTTGAGTAACATTTTTTTTTGCTTCTAACAATTTGAATTCTCTTTAAATAGACTTTCATAAACCCTTAGTTTCTTTCCTCTCTTCTTCTGCTTCAGTTCACCATGGCTGCTCCATCTGGTACTCCCTTTAACACCGGTAATAACCCCATAGCTTTCTCTATTTCTATGAAACAGAGTTTGAACTTCATCCCAGATCCTCCCTCTAAGGTGGAATCCAAAGTTAAGACATGGAAACAACAAATGCTTATTCCTTTTGTTGTTGTGAAGAAACTCTTTGCATTCCATGGGCCATATCCAGCCCAAGAGACGCATCCTAAGACTGTCAATCAATATTTCCCCTATTTTACTCCCGCTATCCCTTCAGCTTTTAACCATACAAAACCCATTGATATTAGGTTTATGGTATCTAATATCATAGTGTTTACCTCCATACCTACTTTGGGTATTGGAGCGTATCTTTCTTGGCTTGATAGAGTCCAGGCACAACAGAGATATCAATGGGAGAAGCTTGACATTTTTGACGTAATTCAAATTTTGCTCAGCACCCATACAATTGATCCCAACTTTATTCTTGCTTCACTTTTATTTTGGGAAAGTTTTACTAACACTTTCCAACTTACCTATTGGATGTTGACGCCTACCCTGTTTGACGTGGCAGCCATCACTGGGCTTTCCCCGCTGGGTAAGACTTTCAACACAACTGCACCGACAAAACATACATTTTTCTTTGACCAATCATATTTCGCTCGTTATATTACTGATCACCACCATGTGGATACGAATGACGTCTCCGACACTGAACATATAGCCTTTCTAACCCTTCGGATCTCCCATTTTTATTTTGCATAGGATCTTTAAAATAGCTCAGGATTTCATACATCTGGTGATTCATCTTCATGAGGGACAAAACATCTCACTGGGAAGGCTTTTGCAGGCGAATCTTTACCAATCTTTAGGAAATGCTTGCACACAACTGAAGGCACTTCCTGATAATGACAAATACTTCACCCTCTCAGGACCCTTTTGGCTTCTACAACACTGGCTGAAAGCTACATTCGAATTTCAACTGGGTTACCATATTTCCAAAATAATTTTGTGTCTAAACAAAGTTAGAGCTATTGAAGGCCCGAGGCTATCCTTGACCACTCCTCTACACAAACTTGGTTGGTTTGTTTTCATGAAGTATATCAATATGTTCATCGAAACCAAGACACTTGTCTTAGCCATGGCCCTTTTTATGGAACGAAGATTTGGTCCAGACTGGTTTCGAGAGCCTTTTCATAACACTTCTCAACATGGAGTTCGTATAAATGCAATATGGAGGGATGTTTTAACACCCAGAGTGCTTTATTGTTGAATTAACACCAGCTCGATAGGATACGGTTTCATGGGTTACTAACCAAACTTGATATCCTGACAGTTGGGACTCAACCAAATGTTTCATTCGTCTTTGTTCTATTGCCATGCCGACATCGTCTGGGTGTGTAGACAACTCACTGCCCAGAAACATCGGGCTTACCTCAAATTTCATCGGGAAACTCAAACTCTTGAACTTATAGTGTTTGACTTTGAATGTCCCTTCTTCACTTCAAAGTTTTTCGACCAGTGGTGGCCCGAGTATCAAGAGAAATACTTTTTCATACCCAACTTTCTTCAAAGGCTTATCGACGCCTTTAATGCCCTAGAGACTCGACAACCTCTTGGGCCATTGATCTCTCAGGAACATGAGTGCCCTTCACCGGTCGACTTAAACCAAGTCTCCTCTCCTGAAGTAGTACAGCGAATGACGCCTTTCTTCTTTTTCGACTCAGTCTCATAGAAGCACAATGTTGTGCTACCAAACTTAGAGGTATTTCCTTTCTCTTTTATATTCACCTCTGATTTTTCTCTTTAAGTTAACTTTGAAACTCTTCCCAGGGGCTCCCTTATGCAGTCGATGTCGAACTGAATCCAACCAGAACTGCTCATGCCGGTGACAACACTGCAAGGTCCAGTCATCCAGGTTTTTCCAAGACTACATGTCACAATTTGAACGATGCTCTGTCCCTTGGCAACATTTAGGAAGATTCACCTTGCCCCTGTTCAATCTTCTTAAACCTGAAGAGTTAGATTGGCGTGTCAGCCATTCGTGACTTGCAGGTACAAGATGATTGAATACTAGAGTGCCCAGAAATTTGCACTCGCTGGTGTACAAAGTAATGCTGTTGGTTTATTGTGTCGGGAATGGGCTTAAAGATGCCATTTGGAGAGGTGATAAAGAGTTATCAGAGATGGGCTTATAGATGATATCCATAGTGATTGTTGGTAAGTATAAAGCTTGATTGTGACTATTATTTTAACGTATACTAAAAGGAAT